CACACACACACACACACACACACACACACACACACACACACACACACACAATATGCGCTCATCGTTTTTCCAGCTGCCAAGTGTTTTTCCTCTGTAAACGGTCTTCCATAGTTGGAGTAGAAGAACAATCCCATGAGATCGGTTGAAGAAACGAAACGCAACTGCGTCTTGATGTTCCAACTTTCGCTCTGGTGCTGCTTCATCCTTCCCTGACAGCCTTGCTCGTGGGACGATGTGAATCAAACTCCGCCTATCCCCCTTCAAGTCTTGTAGGTTTCATGGGAAAGGCGCTTTCACACTGCGCTTTTCAATTCAAAATGTTAGTGTTTTGGAATATTCGTAGCCCTAAGGCTGTGGTCAACTGGGGTTCGGCGTATGTGTGAAGGTGTCACATTTTTTGTGGCGGGCGACTAGGACGCAAAATGGGTTCTTAAGGGGCCAAAAAAAATTGAGGAACCGGTCCTTGCCAAAATTGCGGACTACTTACAACTAACTCTGGTAGAACCGGGACTTTTGGAAAAAGGAAGGACCGGTCCTTGGGTGGAAGTGGACCCCAAAAAGAAGTGGGGGGCGTTGGACGGTTCCACAGGTGTAAGCGGACCCCAAAACAAAGTGAGGGCATGTGAACTGCAAAAGGGCCCTCAGGCCCAGGCGTTGAGGTCCGTCTTCTCAAAACAAGGAGGTCAGGCGCAACGAAACAGACGTTTTGCAAGAGGCACTTTTGGCGATTTTCTGTGCTCGGAGGAACCCGCAGAAAAAACTGAAATTTTGAAAATCAAGAGATGAGGTTGTGTTCTTTCTAGGAAAAATATTAGAACATTTAAAAACACTCATTTAGACCGAGAAATAATCGTCGCGCAAATTCGACACATTTTTCATTTTTGCCACTCAGCCATGTGTGGGCCAACTGAAAAAGTACTCCAAATTCAGTGAGTTTTCACACTCAGAAGAATGTGTGAAAAAACATGAAAATTGGAATACCCGTAGATTTTGTTGTGATCCTTCCAGGAAAAACGCTCAATAAATTAAAAAAAATAATTTCAGCCGTGAAATAGATCGCAGCCGCAATTTGACCCATATGTCAATTTTGTCATTCAGCGTATCTCTCTCTCTCTCTCTCTCTCTCTCTCTCTCTCTCTCTCTCTCTCTCTCTTTGTGGTAGCCCCCCGCCCTCCCTCTCTCTCTATCCCTATTTCTTTCTCTCTCTCACTTTGTCTCGCTCCCTCACCCATATCAACAAATGGAACAAAACTCACTCTCTCTCTCTCTCTCTCTCTCTCTCTCTCTCTCTCTCTCTCTCTCTGTTGTAGCCCCCCGCCCTCCCTCTCTCTCTATCTCTCTTTCTCTCTCTCTCACTCTTTATCTCTCTCTCACACTC